GGATATTATAAAGTTAAGACATTTCGTAATTCTATATATTTTGTTTAAAAATAATATAAAATAAAATAAAGTAGAAATAGTAGAAATTATAACATGTAAATCAAGTGAGATAATATATAATTAAAAATAATAAAATAATCATAAAAAAGTGATTATAAAATAAGACGATAGTTATTATTAGTAAAGTGGAGGACAATTTTTGTACACATATTTTTTTCCTTCTATTTTACCTTTAAAAAATATGATGGTGAAAAAAACTAAAATATAATAAAAAGGTATAAATATCTAAAAAAAAATGAAAATCAAAAGGAGATATCTTCTTTATATACAGTATAATTAAAAATATAGATATATTAGAGTTATAAAACTGTGGACAAAAGTATTTTTAAGAGTTATCTCAACCTCTCATCTCTTTTAATTTTCTTTTAAGTTTTTAATTCAATTTTAATATTTTTAAAAATTATTACTAATTTAAAATAATATTATATTACAATATAAATCATTTATTGTAAATCTAAAATATAATTTATATGTTTAAAAATATTTATTTATTATAAATTTTAATTATAGTATAATTTAAAATATTTATTTGTTATAAACTATAGCTATATACATTGTAGCTAAATATTAGTTAATGTTTTTATATTAAATCTTCCCTACATATAAATTAGAATAGTTATCTTAAATGAGATTATTTTTAAATAGCTATGTATACTTAATATATTTTAAAATAATTATTTTTAAAATTTTAATTATTTAAAATAGACATTTATTTTGTATATTGTACAAAGTACAAACTAGAATATTAAATTATGCATATAAAAAGTTATGTTTTTAATTTTTCTTGATTTTTATGAATAAATATAAATTGAAAAATATCAAAGAATTTAAAAACTGAAATATAATTTAACTTTAAACTCGAAAGGAATCTTAAGTTGTGTAATTAACATATTAAAATTAGGGATTTAATTAGAAACATTTAAAATAAATACAAATTATAGAAATTAATTAATTACTATATTAAAAGATAATTTTCATGTCATAATATTCCGTGAACACAAACTAATGTTTTAGTGGATAAAGGATTTAATTAAAAAAATTAAATTATAAAAACCTTTTTAGAATATTTTCAACTATAAAGACTTAAGTAAAAAATTTGACAAAATTATAGGAACCAACATATGAATTTAACCAATTTTTAATTAGACCTTGTATTAAAAGAAATTTTAATTGAGTGATGATGATATTATAAAATTTTTAAATTGGGTCTTGGATTAATTCATGGAATGGGAATTTGTGATTGTTTTGAAAACTGAAGAGAGTTCGAGACCCATTTACAGAAATTTTAAAAATCAAGAATTTAATTATAAATATTTTTTGTTTGAGGATCTAATGAAATTTCGATTAGTTTAGGAACCAACTGAATAATTTCATCTCAGATTTTTGTTTTCCACTTTCCATGCGAACTTAGAGAGCTTATTTTAGTCGTATTCCTTTCTTGCTTTTGTAGCAGCATATAAGATTTGCATACGATTTTTTCGGCGTAGATTTATTAAATCGAGAAAACTTAATTACAATTTTTTAAGTGCATGATATTCTTCAATTAGAGTTAATTTCATCATCAATTAGAGTTAACTTTAGAGAAAACTAAATACTTTCATCTTAGATTTTTAAACATTAAGTGTTATTCTTCAATTAGTGCTGAAGTTTTATTTTGTAGTATGTGTAAATATAGATTAATAAGATTTATATTAAATATAAATATATAATATCGAAATAAAATTTTAATTCTAATTAGAAAATAATATCAGTTACACTTAAAAAAAAAATATCTAAATTTTGACCTTATTAAAATTAGAATTTTGGCTTACTAGTAATTTTATGAGGCATCATTTATTCTTCCAAATTTATATCTACAAAAAAAAATATAAGTTTGCATTAAAGATTAGTGTTAATTTCAAAGTGAAACTTTAATTATAACTATACACTCTTTAGCCGTTCCCTAATCCCCTTCGTTGCTCTCTCAATTTCTCTTGATATTATATATTTAATTATAAGGTTTAAATATATTTTTAATTTATATAAAATGAAAAAACTTTTATTAGATTGCTGTAAAAATATTATTTTTCATCTTTTTAAAATTTGTAAATATTGTTTTTAATCTTTATAAAAATCTTTTTGATCTTGAAAAATAAGTAAATTTTAGTTTTAATTCCTAAAAAAATATTTTTTTTAATTTTTATTCCTCTAAAATTGAAAATCAGAAATTTTTAATCCATAATAATAATTTTAAGATATATAGATAACATTTATTTTAATAACTTTTCAAGAGATGTCACAAATTAATATGGTATCTCTAATGGTTGTTGTGGATAATACTGACTTATTCAAAAATAGACAAGTAATTAACAATGATTGCATAATAATGAAGACTAAAAATAATAATTCTAAATTTTAGAATAATAAAATAATAATAATAAATCATGAACAAAAATCAAAATTAAAATTTCCTCATTATACATTATGACACCCTTACTACCCCAACTAATATATTATAATAATGTAAATAAACTAAGGAATTAAAATTTTCAACATAGGTAAAAGAGTTCACATAAAAACTTTTAGAAACATTCCTCAATTTCCAAAATATTTTAAAAATGAAACTTGGAAAATAAAACATAAGAAGCTACAAAATGTTTTCAAAATAATAGGTTCAACTCCATATACAAATACAATTCATGTCCTAGAAATCATCTGCCCCGATGTAACAATATCAGAGCATACCCATAAATCAACTGTTGGCATTCTAGATGTTACTCATAGCCAGATCTTCCTCACCTAAAACATCCACAAATCGTACAGTAAGAAAAGAAAACTATATATAGCACATAAGAAAACACAACATATTATCTCATTATAACTTAATATTCATAAATATTTCAACATATCGTATTTTAATCAATCATGCATCGTCATCACGTCACAATTCTCCATCACACCAATCATCACAAATCTTGCACTTCACATTATGCCAAGGTCACGCTACCCATTTAACAATCCAAGGTCGTGTTCACCCCTGATATAACACTCTGCCAAGGTCACGATTCCCCTATAGCATATCTAGCCCAGGGTCGTGCTCACCCCCGACATATTATTCAAGGTCACGATACCCATGTAACAATCCAAGGTCGTGCTCACCCTTGATATAACGTTGTGTCAAGGTCACATTACCCCTAACCCAGGGTCGTACTCACCCCTGACATGTTAACCAAGGTCACGATACCCATGTAACAATCTCGGGTCGTGCTCACCCCTGATATAACATTGTGTCAAGGTCACGTTATCCTTAACCCATGGTCGTGCTCACCCCTGACATGTTAACCAAGGTCACGATATCCATGTAACAATCCTGGGCCATGCTCACCCCTGGTCATAGGTGTGAAGAACCACAATCACATCTCATTCACATTCCACACAATATCTCATAGTTCAATTCCATACACACATCAGATAAGTCCAAAATAATGAGTTTCATACACCTCAAGCAATTAACATCTAAATCATCAATTTTTATCAAGTAATATAACAATAACATTCATAAATTAATATAATAATCAATGGAATTATCAAGTTAATATAATTTTAACATAAACAGTAAAACTCCCAATTGTTCCAAAACCTAGCTCACAGACACTTTTCTACAATTTCGTTCTCTCTCCCAGATCATCATTCTTACAAATTATTAGCATATTTTTAATCCTCAATACATATACAGTCTAATGGGATCATCAATTTCTCAAACAGAAATAATTATAAAATTACTCATAATCTTAAGAGACTCTTCCTCTACCCAATTCCCTTATATAACTCTACATACAAATAATCCCCTTTTACCCCGTACCTTGATAAACAGTAGTTGAAACTAAAACAAATATCTCCTTAGTCTCCTCCTCTGAGTGTCTCTCGGTCTTCAGAGAGTGTAGAAAGAAAAGAAGAGAGAAGTGAAAAGTGTGCTTTTAAGAGTGCTAGAGTGCTCTATTTATAGGATCAGATGTCTCCAGAACCGCCTGTTCCAAATCCGGAACAGCCCGTTCTGGACCCTTAACTCACGAGTAAAAATCACATCCAGAATGGTTCGTTCTCAAACCAGAACGGTCCGTTCTAGGGTGCATTTAATACTTACAACGGTCATATTTTGGAACGGCTCATTCTCAATTAGGTGAAAAGGCCATTTCTGAAAATCGGAACGTCCCGTTCCTATCTAAGAATCATAGGCAAATTTAATGATTTGAAACGGCCCATTCCGGGCTACCAAATGTAGGAATATTTAGTAATTTAGAACGGCCCGTTCTAATTTAGAACGGCCCGTTCTAATTTTGGAACGGCCCGTTCTAATTTTGGAACGGCCCGTTCTAATTTTGGAACGGCCCGTTCTAGGCTACTAAATCACCTTAATTGAGCTTTTGGCCATGTAAAAATTGGGCTGTTACATACATGACTAAAAATATATGCAAGACTAATTATAATTAGTTGGTAAACCTAGGAGGTTACGGCCTCCTGTATTTAGCTCTTTCGATTCAAGCAATTCTTTATCGATGTCTTCTTTACAACTCTGAAATTGAGGAGGCTATGTAGCCTCCTAAATCGTTGATCGACCTCTTTTGGTTCAAGTGTTTCTCTATCAATTTTTTTCTAATATAATTTATATTACTAAAATATATTAAAACTCACAACAATATGTTTCACTTTCCACTTAAAAGTTTTTACACGTAATTTTAAAAATCCAATAATCTAAACTTATTGTAAAAAAAATAAATAAATAAAATTGGATCTATAACAAAGTGTTAGAAAAAGGCTTGTTCAATGCATTTAACCTGAACTTTCTTACTTCTCCCCTTCAATATGCATACAACTTATAAATATGTTTTCTGATAATAATAACTAGCATATTTTAAATATCTTGATTTTTGGAAATAATTCTATGGCTTTGGTCCATAAAATTTGAAGTAAAACCTATTTATATTTCAACTTAATTTCAGAATTTCTTATCCAGTATTTACAACAAAGTAAAGTCCATAAACAAATACACGATGGACAATATTTTTCCGAAGGACTTATTGCAAACAAGGATCTCTTAACAATAAGTGGTTTGCCACCTATTTTTTTTATTATTAATTTCCTCCATACCATTTTTTTCCAACAAAGTTAATAGCCACAACCAACAAATGTGACTGACATCGTTCCAAACACATGGCTCAGGACAACCATTTTTGGAGAAAACAACTTCGTATCAACTTCAAATGCATTTTTGCCATGCAGCGTAGACAAATTCACTAAATAATATAGACTTCTGCAATGTATTCAGCTACTCTCCATAGCTGCAGTGTTGTATTGACCCACGGAAATCTAGGCAATAATACTATGTTTGGAAGGTGACTCCCTTCTCGTTCAAGCCTGAGAAAAATTATAATCTATTATATACATTATTCATCCCTTCCGAACTCTAAAGAGGTGGTGAAGTTCTTTAAAACAACAAATACAAAGTTTCTGGGCTTAATTAACTTTTTGGTCTTCATAATATAAATTTTTCAGTTTTAGTCCCTAGAAAAAACTTTGGTGGTTTTAGTTACTTTTTTTTTGGTCTCTATACCTGTTCAATATTGACGTGACTCGGATAATTAAAAACAGACCTGAAGTTTCTTAATGAAATTCTTTCAAAGTGTTGAGAAAACAATTCCAATTTTCAAATTTAAATATCTGAGATACTATTTAGATTTTAAAATGATATTGATTCTTTTAAGATATTATTTAAAATTGAAATATATTATATTTATTTTAGAGATTTTTTTCCTTTTTAAAATTAGAGGATGTAAGGTTAATAAATAGAGACTCTGGAGATTAAACACTTGGCCTGTAGAGAAGGTCACACACAGTCTTAAATGAGAGAGGTTATATGAAGGAGGATTTCCAAGTTTCGTCAAAAGACTTAAGAAGGGAGATTTTAAATTTCACCTATAAAACTTGTGCGAAGGAGTTTTCAAATTTTACCCACAAAACTTAAAAGGAGGGTTTTCAAGAAGATACATGTAATACATTTTGAAATAATGAGTATCATTGTGGACGTAGATATGAAGAGCCGAACCACATTAAATAAAATTTCATGTGATCTTTTTCTATTTCTTTATGGTATTAACTTGTTTGTATTGTCTCATCCATATGTGTAAAAGAATAAGGTTTTTTTGTTCCCAACACAGGAAGAGGGACCTGTGCAAAAAATGTACTATTTTAGAGGGACAAAAACAGTAACACTTTGGGAGTAAAAAACACAAACTAAAAAGGATCTAAAGCAACAAGAAATTTTTCTAGACACTAAAAATGGAAGAGGTATATATTATGGGGACTGAAATATTAATTAAGCCAGGTTTCTATATGCAATTCATATGTAGACGAATAGAAGTACTAAGTTACTTACTAATTGTGCTTCCCATCATAGAATTGAGCATTTTTGGAGGATTTAAAAGTCTCCAAAAATCCTTTAGCCTTTTGCATCTCTTCCTTTTGCCTTGACTTGTCCCATTTGTGCTCAGCTGCCAATATTTGAATCACACGAGGTAATGCCCGTCCTGCTGCATCAGTGTCAAGGAACGCAAGACGAGACCTCCTTGCAATGAAGTCAATGGCAGATTCACAGTATTCATGACGAGCACAGTAGGCCACCTCAGCCTCTAGAAAAGGGTAACCATGGGCAAGCCGTTTTCCCAAATTTTCATTCTGCATACAGAATATACAAAATAAATCTTGCCATTAATGAAACCATGAAACTGACTAAAACTTGTACAAATTACCATAAGCACACTGTTCAGATAGAAAATTTATCACCATTTATAAGTGATAACTAAAATGCACATATTTTGGATTTTGATTTGTCAAACTAGAATAAAAGCATTGGGTGTTGAAACGAATTATCGTGTAATGGATTATTTTATCTTTAATATTTTACAACCAGCAAGGTCAAACGACAAAGCTGAAGCCTATTTGTAGTTATTTTTACAAAAAAAAAAAAAAAAAAAAAAAAAAAAAAAAAAAAAAGCATTAAGCAGAAACCAATTCATGGTTAAGAAGCCCAGTGCCATCCTGAAATTGCGTAATAATGAAATATTGATCAACCCTATTTAACATCGTTTAGTCCTAACTATGTTTAATACATCTCAAATATGAACAGTTCTTAATGTCAAATGACATCTGTAAGACGGCTTATATCAAACAAAAAATACATCAAAGTTTAATATACTACTTAGATATTAGCTGCCATGTATGAATATGCTGTAATATGTCACATGTTTCTATTTCAGACGCAGGCAGGTTACCAAGATTTCATCTACCAAAGGCAATAAATACCTCGGAGCTTATGCTATAGTTGGAAAGTCTTAAAAGAATTCTGACAAGTGACAAGAGCCTTGGAAAAACCATATAATAAAAGCTAGTCTTTGTAAGAGCTCAAGGCTTCATAAATCTCATACTTCTAATGTGGAACTCATGCCCCATACCTTGCAATTGTATCCAACAAATTTCACCATATGTTCTCTGTTACAATTTCATGCAAATCAGACATGTAATAAATGTGGTAATCAGGTGTAAGTCTAATAACTACAACTAGTGCTATAACTCGGAAATAGTCTTGGGAGAACGTGACAAGCAATTAGAATAAAAATAGATCTGCATAGATTAATTAGTGATAAATTTCTCAATGGATCTTACTCTCTCTATGATTTCAGAACAGGTTCTTCCTATCTCTCCACCACCATGCATCAGTACTTGCATACCCTAGCCTCCAAACACACTGTTCTCACTGACCAGACAGGTCATTAATCCTTACCAGCCATGTTTCAATCATGGCATCATCTACCATTGCCATGCTCCATTCTGACAAAGATTCTATGGATCAAGTGACAAATCCAACCCCCGCCCCCCAACCACTTCTTAGATTGTGACAAATTCCAGCTATACCAGGACTCAAGATATCATCTACAGACCATCAGCTCTTCCAGATGAAGCAGCATGTGCCACATGTCTCTTCCACATGTAATCTTCACAATTCACATGCCTCACTTCATCAAGTTGACACCATAACTTCCCAATTTTTTTTGCCAGCATACCTTGGGTGTTTTTGGCACTTGATATGGCCAATTATCTGAACTTGGCTTCCTTATACATGTTTTCAGTACAGTGGCAGATGGTTGCTTGGGTGGTTTTTATGCTACTTCTACTAATACCTTTTCAACATCTGGCTTCATTTGTATTGAGCTTTGAAGCATAGAAATATGCATCTCTATCTGTGTTACATCAACATCCCAACCTAAAAGAAAACCCCAACCAACATTTTAGGGGGCCTTAGGAGAATTTCTTCCTCTGACAATCTGCGATCAGAACAAGGTGGTAGCTGTTGGGAACAAAAACTCCTCTTTATACACAATGATGAGAGAGCACACAAAGAAAAACCATAACAAATAGGGGGAAAAAAATCACACAAATTTATTTAACATAGTTTGGCCCCTTATGCAATCATGTATGTCCATGGTAACACTTAAATGAATATTCATTATTTCAAATTTATTGAATGTAATTCGGCCTCTCATGTCTACATTCACAACACCTCTTATAATCTCTCCCCTCTCTCATTTAGGGTGGTGACCCTTTCTACAAGTTGGATAATTTTCCTCATTTCAAGAGCCTCTATATATTGACCTTGTATCCTTACCTTAAAAGATGAAAAAATCCCTAAAATAAAGATAATATTTCAAATTCTAAACAAAATCCTAAAAATAATATCTTTTTAAATTGAAATTGAAAATTTAAATTGTTATCCCAATAGTAACTGACCCCTGCCTTCAACAATATATGTGGCTGCGACATCTGCAATGACAACACGGTGGTGACTCACCATTCCCTGTGACAACCAACTACCTGCAATGACTTTCCACAGACAAGTTGATTGAATCTCTCCTGCAACAAGGTACCTTACATCCCCTGTTGTGGATGAACCAACCAAATTTTGAAAGTCTGAAACAGTGAAATGTGTCGTGTTTTGCCCTAGTTGAGAACATATATCAACTAGAGATATAGCTAATTTAGCTCTTATAAGCTTCGAACAATCTTTACCTCACAAACTGGTTTTGTGAAATTGAGTTAGGTTCTAAGCTCATGTTCTTAGAGCTTGGGAACCAAAAATACTTCACCTTTCGAACTTTTGATTTGATGATTTATGTAAGATTTTAACAGGTTCTATCATACTTATTACAATGGTTTGCTTTATTATGAAGTCATAATATTGAATATTTATAATTTTATGGTATTATATTTTGTCTGGATATTATCATTAGGCTTTCTTAGCATTAATTTTTATTAAGTAAACTCTAACAAATTGCAAGTCAAGTCTACCGACCACCCATGAGTATATGAAAACTCTCGAGTTTCACAATCTTGCTTGCAAGATCCCTGTGTGATAGAAAGTGAATCAGAATTATAGAAAGCTAAGTTTCTATTAATAGAAAATTACAAAATAATTCCCAGGATTATTGAGAGGCTTGGACTCACCCATACCAACATAAATTTCCTCTCAAATCACAAGATAAAATCTCCCTTTCAACCCCTTTTCTTATTTATAGGCAACATGCCTTATTTCTCTAGTTATCCCAGCCCCCAACTAAGTAACTCTCTGACCAACTAATTATTCTACTAACTAATGGGTATCTATCATTGTGCTCAAAGCATGGCAAATTGGTAAAATATTATGAATTTATGAGTCAAGTCTATGCACTCTCCATGAGTTCATGTACACTCTTAAGTTAGACAACCTTGCATGCAAGACCCCTTTGTGCTCACAGCATGGATAATGCTCAAATCTACTTTACCTTATTCCAATGTTCAATTAAATTATGAAAAATGGGAACGCCAAAGATCCAACTCTTGACCACTTGGTCGCAACTTTGATATTATGTTAAGAATCAACTATCCTAAAAGTTTAAGCAATTAGGTAGAGGGGCTGAGGAATTTTTTTTATATCTCTAAACAGATTCATCACCAATATTTGGTATTCATTTACATTCATGGTTTACGGCAAACATAAGCCATGTGCCATAAGGTGAGTCAGCCACAGATAAATTGATGGCACTAGCCTCTATCAAAAACCATTTTTTCAATTAAATTAATTAATCAACAAGACATTTTCAAAAGTTCCTGTGCAAACACTGCTATAGAAAAATATGAAATAAATACAAGCTAACCTGAGCAATGGCAGCAACTCGCTCAGCCAATGTTCCATATGCATGAGACAAGTGCTTTGCTGCAGCAGTGTCCATCACACCAGGAACAACTTTACCCTTATATGTTACTTTCATGCGCATATACTGTTGAGAAAGAATAGTAAAAGAAGCAGGATCCCACCCTTCACCACCAACAATCCTGAGATTGTTGGTAATACAACCATTGGTGGGGGTCAACTTCCCAGACTTTATAGCTGCATTGACAGCATCCTCTGCCATGCTGAAATAAATTGGGATCAGAATATTTGTAGGCAATAAGAATATTGACTGCTGGAAGGTAAAAATGAGAAGGAAAGGCAACAACGAATGGAGCTGAAGTTGGAAAATAATTAAACACTAGTTAAATGGAGCAATAGACTAACTGAATGGTTAACATGATTAATGTAATGCCTAACTGGAGAAACATATGAACAAATTTCAACAACTTTTAGCTTGATCCATTAAACAATTACCTTCGATAGGTAGTCCACTTGCCACCAGTAATGGTGACCAAGCCAGGGTGATCCTCAAAGACAACATGATCCCTGGAGATACTCTCAGTATTTTTAGCTGTTGGGTCCATTGCTAATGGGCGAATGCCACTCCAGGCAGAAAGAACATCAGTGCGTCGGACCTAAATTTTCAAAGCATTATTTAAAGTAGAAAGAGAAAGGGATATAGTAAAAGGACATCTAGATTGAGTAACATCCCACTAAGATCACTTTGGTTGGATTTAATCAGATTTCTGAGGATAGACCCAGTTAATTTTAAAATAAGGGGGAATCCCACAAATGAAAAGATTGAATTCTATAGCAATTTTGCTAACAGATATATGATGCAATTTACTTTTTTTTAATTTTGGCCTAGGATTATCCAAAATATTTCCAAACATCTAATAAGCATGGGATCATTTAATTTCTGCATATAACATCAGAAAGAATAGGAAAATTAATGAGCTTAAAAATTGCCTGTATTGGCAGCAGTGTCATACTTTTACATTAAGGTAATCAGATATGGCATCCAATATAAATTGTATTTCATCTTCATGTGGTTCTGGAAGAAATGTAATGGTAGTGTTGGAATCTGTAGTTCCAGCAACTGTTCGTCCCAACCATGGTAGCATAAAAACAACACGTCCATCCTTAGTTTTGGGAACAATTAAGCCCATTCCCTCTGGAGAATAATAATCGGGGAGTATAATATGTACACCACTGCTTGGAGAAATCATGTCTCGTGCACTTTTGTCAGCCATTTTTCTTACAGAATCACAAAAAGGCCCAGCCGCATTCACAATTACTTTTGCATATGTATCAAACTCTTTGCCTGCAACAAGCAAAATAACAAATAGAAATACTTGAGGTTAATGGTTAGATGAAAATACTTGAGTGGTTCAACTCACAATCAGCAAGATCATTATATATATATATATATATATATAGGCTATATCCTAATGTCTGAATACAATGAATAAAAAAATAAAAAATAAAAAAAGCTTCACAAAAGCTGAACAACAGATAAAAAAAGCAGATTTTCAAACAGAAATAATTAACTATTGAACTGTCAAAAAATTAATTTTAAGCTTAAGGTGCATTTGATGCACATGGGGAGAGTATGAACAGTGTTCATAATCTCTCCATATTAAGCAGAACGGCACAGAATAAGTATCTGAGTCACGACACAATTTTTTATGTCTATTGTTTGGTGGTTGATGCATCACACAAGCAATTTTGTATTATGAGTTGTTTCATATGCATAAGAGCATCTCAAATTCAAATTGCTTAACCTGCTCTATAAATAAGAAACTGTCACTTATTGGGTTCTGCATCATTATAGTTTCCTGAGTTACAAATAAGAGAGGGTTGCTTGTATAAGATATGGTTACTAAACCAAAAACAAAGAGATGAGTGGGGATCATTTGGTGGGGAAGGATGAATAGTTACAGTGATACCGATTTGGTGAACTGCTTGTCATTAGTTCATAACACCATTGGAATGGATAATTGCTTAAGTAGCATAAAATTTATATATATATAAAAAAATTGTGTCATGATATGACCTACATAATTTTTTTTTTTTTTTTCGGACTGCTGCTACATAAAAATTATAAACAATACAATTATGCGACTTTAATGAGTATGTGCCATTGAGATGTTCCAAGTACTGGAAAGAACAATGTGAAGACTACTATAATAATATCCTCTGTGTTGTACAAGATTATTTACATTATGACAAGGCACAAGACAATATTTTGATAATTTTAATTACTCTAGTACTTAGTCTATTGTCAGCCCAGACATAGTGTTAATACATCATATTAAATGTTTTAAATTACTTTAAAAAGTATCAAATTACTCTGTTTTTGATATAAACACCCTCTTTCATTAAAACCTTTACATTTTTACTCTTTATAATGTGCCCGTGGCCACAGAATAAAAAATCCTTCATACACACAGATGGGAATATGTATTTATTATACCATGGATCTGTTATATACTGAGCTGATTGGAAAATTTTGAATGTTTGAATTATTTCACTGTTTTTCAAATGAAATAAAAGAAAAAACCATGTGATATTACACTGCTATTAGTGTTTTGGTTTGGGAGTGAAAGAGTGGGCTTATAACATTGAGGGAAAAGTGCTGTAATTTTGACTTAGTTCATTACATTGTACACAACAAAAAAGTTGTCCCATGTTCTGGTATGTGATAAAAAAAAAATTTACATCCCTACTCCATCCTTTCTTTTGTGTTGTCCTATGATCATTTTTAAAATCAAACATGGGATAATTGTTATTGTGCTATCCAGCCCATCACCTTTTTTGAATCAAACACACCAATGCCACAAATTAACAGCATAAGAATAAAGGATTGACTTCCAACAAATGATTCTTCAGATTGTGTGTTCGTTCCTCACAATGACCTAGAACCCTTATTTAATCAGATATAATATCCTATCATACATTTGCTAACTTACTATTTCTGATAATCCAATATAGTAAAAAAAATTGTAAACCATGAATGTCTACAGTAACAGATAGAAATAGAAGAAAGTATTACCAGTTAAATTGTCCTTAATTCGTACACCAATTATCCGTTCACCAGCATCATCCTTCAGTAAGGATACAACTTCAGCATGGTTCAGCACCACTGCACCAGCTAATGCCGCTGTGCAAGCCAATCCAACATTAAGTCGTGCATCATTCATCTGCCCATCATAATAAACAACTGTTCCCCTCAGGCTTCTACCTTTTCCCTCCTTTGCCAGAGTGGGAAAGAGCTCAACAGACTCTTTTGCAGAATAATATCTTGATAAGTGCAAGAGTCGTGCTCCTGCGACCAAATCGTACATTTTCAAGCCAATCCAGTAGTAGAATACTTCAAACCAGTCAAAACATGGTGTCATGCAAGGCAAAGCATGGCATAGGTGTGGTGCATTGTCAATAACCTGTTTACGCTCCTCAAGTGCATGAAATACTAACTTCAGCTGGCCATAGTCAAGTTTAAAGACAGCTTTCTCCAGGTAACGAACCCCTAAGAGTTTACTCAAACACTGAAATGTTAGATCAACAAGTACTTGCTACTTAAAATGTTAAGTATGGCATTAATATCATTTCCATATATATTAGTAAATAGTTATAATTCATTCATTGAATTAATAGTTTAGTTGATATTAACCATTCCAAACGAAAGGCTTGTGTTGCTTGTATTTTAAAATAAATAAGTGCAGATGATTGTAACAATTCATTAAAGCAAAAGAGTAAAAGCAAGAGGATTTAATCCTTAGAGAGCATTGTAATAGATAAAGAATTCATTGAAAATTCTTCTATGTAACTTTGTTCTTTTCTTAATAATAGAAATTTTTTCTAGTGCCAACTCTCTTTTGTGTGTGTGTGTGTATATATATATAATTGTGGATATTTACTTCCTTGAGATTTTCAGTCCTATAGGGAAAGTATTGTTTTTTGTCTCCTTATTTTATATGTTTATGGAAAAATAGTATTTGATGTAAAATATACATACATATATATATATATATATATAATTATATATATATATATATATATGTATGTATATTTTACATCAAATACTATTTTTCCATAAACATATAAAATAAGGAGACAAAAAACAATACTTTCCCTATAGGACTGAAAATCTCAAGGAAGTAAATATCCACAATCTTCGGTGTTAAGATGTAGATTGGTTTTTATCAATCTTATTTGAAAACTTAAATCAAAGTAAACTTCACAATCCTCAAAATCATGGAAACAGTGTCCATTCTATGTATTCTACCTGTAAATTTCAAATCCCAAAAGTATGATACTGTTATAAGTTTTTAGTTTTGTACTTTTGTTAATGTTATTTCATATCCTTTGAAAGAATATGAAAAACAAATTCAAAATTATAATTTTGCAGAATATCCTTTTACAAAACACATCAATATTAATCATGAAAACATATTGTTTGGCCTACCAAATTTCCTCAATGCGTTATTGATAATCCACAGCATGAGCTATTTATCCCAGCCAATATTTAATTAAATAATGAGAAGCACCAAGAATAATAGAATAAGAAAAGAGATACAGATGTAAATATAAAATAAAATAAACTAATTAATACATGAGTCAGTTTTACATCCCTCCTTCAATTACTCAAGAAACCTGGGCTTTCCCTCCCAATTTCCCATAGAATTCTAAAGTCGCCCTTATTCCCCTCCTATGATTTATACCCTATCTTCTCCACCACTCTAACTAATCATCTAACCAACTAAATATTCCAACTGTCCAAATATCCCCTTTCTTTGCTTAATATACAGTTTTTCTAATCGATTTCTGCTCATAATCATCATCTCCAGTAAAAATTTCACCAAGTACAACTTCAATTCGACCCCAATTTCTTCCATGAACCCATTTCAATAAAATAGCTGAGGTATTCTAGGCTGGTGCACCTCGGGGCATGTGACAACTCAAATTTCTCCTAAAATTCTTCTATAGTTGATATTTGTTTCTACCCCAATAACAACTCATGGGGGTTCTGCATAATTGGTTGTTGAAAGTTGAAACCTTTCAATTACCTCAGTTTTGATCCCTTCCTAAGATGGATAAGACATTGGAACCAACTAAAATATGCCACCAACATCACTTGGTGCTTGTAGCCTCTCTACTTCTGCAACTTCACTGACAAGAAAGTATCATCTTACCTGTTCATACCACCGGATTGACTCCTATAAAAATAAAATGTTGCGACTTCATTCCCAAACCACAGACTAAATCTCAGTCCTTAGTTAAGAAATACAAGTATTGAAACACTTGTACTAATGATGTATAATTTAAATCCAAATAATATTACTTTAATAATATCATTGATATATTTGTTTTAATTTTCTAACATGTATAAGATGTTTAGAAGAATATTAATTAATTAATTCTTTGTTTTCATTTATACATTTATTTATATTTAGAAGTGCATGAGTTTTTGGTATTTGATAGAGGATAGTGTTCTGCTAAAATAATTTTTAATTTTTCGTACTCAATGATATAATCCGAACCAACTCTTTATTGATCAAGTTGGTTAGGTTCAGATTGATAGAAAATTTACACAAATTCAACCCAAAACTCAAACCATTTTGATCATACATCAATATCTGGTTTGATGCAAGCCATATCGACGGGTTAAAAAATGTGTTGTTAGCTCTTTTCCAGACAATTTTTTTGGGCAACACAAAAAATTATATTAAAGTAAGACCCTTTCAGACAAAAGCAGATCATGGGATTAAGTTCTCATTTATCTTCATCTTATATATTATGTAGCATTATAACGGAAACAATGTGGCTTAAGCCACTCAGCTTCACACACAAAAATAAATAAATAAATAAAGGTAACGAATACAGTGTATATTACAGATTAAAAAATAAATAATTTATGTAATCATTAAGAATTGAAAAATGAATTTTAAACCGATGGAAACGATGGTGAAAAAAGAAATAAATAAATAAATAATCAAAGAGGATTACTTTAATCGGTGAGAGAACATGCACATTTGTACCTCCATGAATGAGCTTGGTGGAGCGAGAGGAAGTTCCGGAGGAGAAATCCTCTCTCTCAACCAGACCAACGCGGAGCCCTCGGGTGACGGCGTCGAGCGCCACGCCGGAGCCAGTGGCGCCGCCGCCGATGACGAGAATGTCAAGAGGGTTCGCGGCGCTGGCGCCGACCAGAGCCGACCGCTGGACCTCTCTCGCCGGCACGACGGCGAAGGGATCGTGGATCTTCTCCCGGACGGCGGCGAGGTGCGATCGCCCACCTCCGCTGTCGTTGGCGGAGACCAGAGGAGGCAGGAGGATGGCGCCGCCATATGCGGTGGCCACGGCCGCTCCGACGGCGGTGCCGAGTCGCCTGAGGCGAGTCATGGAGAGGAATGAAAGAAGAGAAGCGAGAGTGATGAGAGAGAGAGAGAGAAGTGTTGGCCTTGTTTTGCGTTGTCTTTTTGAGGAAACGAAATGAAAAGATTTGGTTACGACTCACTCAGGAGCAGAAAAAGTGTTTACCAGTTATGGATCTCACTATTTATACGAGGTGAAGACTCAAGATTGAGTTTTAACCTAGTCAACAGAAACTGATTCACGGGTGAGGCGAAGGAATTGAGAAGTGTGATCATGATCAAACTTTATCCTACATTGCATCGGTTGAGATTCTTGAGAATATTATTTGGAACGGCTTTGTTTGGATTTGAGTATGGAAAAGAGGAGTGGAAAAGGAGAGATTTAAAGGAAAAGTGAGTGGAAAGTGAGGTTGTTTGGATTAAGGGAAAGTGAGTGAAAAATGTGGAGAAAGTTTGTGAAAGTTTGTGAATAAATTGATTGATGTGATAGATAAAAATAAATTTTATAATTGATAATTGTGAAAGATTACTATTTTGCCATTAGGTTAAAAAAGTTTATAATTATTATAATTAAAAGATAAATATATAAATTTTAACTAAAAAAATTATAAAAAACTAATTTAAAAATAAATTAATTTAAATATTTGGTTTAAATTTAATGATAGATAAAAAATAAAAATTTAAGAGATGAATATATAATTTACACTTTTACCCTTGGATTAAAAATGAGTATAATATTATTTATTGTAATTAATAATAATTACAATAAAATTATATTAATAGGTATAATTTATTAAAAATATAATAAATAATGATAAAAATAATAATAAATATTAGAGAAATAATAAGAATCATAATAAATAATAATGATACTAATTATAATAAATAATAATATTAATATTAATAAAAATAAAAATAATAATATTTATAATAATAAATAATAATAACAAAATATATTATGATAATTATATTTTGTAACATTATTTTATTAATGTTTATGAAAGTGTTATTATTTTAATTTTATAAACATGTATTACTTTATTTTTTTTATATTTCCACTTTTTGATGT